GGGGGGGGGGGGGGGGGGGGTAATAATGAAATGAGTAACACATTTATTTTAATCCTTTTTTGGTACATTGTAAATTTGTAAATACTGTAATGGGTTTAATTATTTCTGTACAAAGTGTCACATGTCTCACTAGCTTATGCATATTACAAAAGGAGTAAAAAAATTAAAAATTAATATTTAAATTTACCTATGTCGACTCAATCAAAAAGGTATAAATTATTTTGCAATTTTTATTTCAGTATTTCAATGATATGTTTAAGACTAATTGGTGAATCACATTGGAGTTCAAGTTGAGAACTAGCTTTTTCCCTACTATGATCCTCCAACTGTTGACAAAACAACGTTGGAAATTTGAGAAATGCTTTAGTTCTCAACTTAACCTCAAGTTGAGATCAAATCTAAATGTTTGTTGGGAAGTGACACTTCGGCAGGTTAACCAGGGTTTTGCAAATACATTTTTGTTTGATAGTAATTTTCATAATAGCCGTCAGCTCGAATGAAAGCTAAAGTATAACTGAACTTGTCTCGTAATTTTACGAGGCTCGTAAACTGAGCTCCATACAAATTTCGACAGTTCTTTTACGAGGCTCACGGTGTTCTTGAACCAAATTCAACTGAGTCGGTCTGGAACGATGGAATTTCCAATTCGACTAATTTGCGGGGACCTTACAAAGTCAGAATATGCGAAGTTTGAAATTGTAGCAAGTGCCGAGCCCTAACCGCCAAAATAACGTAAGCGACATTTTTTTTTCAAAATTTTCTTTTTGATGCAGAAATATTCCTAGAACATCTAGATTAGGACTGAAAACAGTGCTTCCCTGCATGGTTCCTATTTACAATTTACGCGAATGTACTTAAGTAAAGGTTTATATTACTTAGCACTATTTGATATGAACCTTAAATAAATTCCTTAAGGAAGTATGATTTTTATGAATTATGAAAACCTTTAAAAGAACTTGTTAAAAACGCGTCCAACAAAAGCCCTTCTGAAAGCTCTTTTTTGAGTAACGAAAGCAAAAGCCCTCAATTTGTGCCACTCCATACAAAAAAATGAAGGATTAAAGAAAGAAATACATTTTTGATCAGATTTTAGCTCATGAAATTACCTTCCGGGTAGTACTTATGTATGACCCCTCAGCCGTGTACCTGATCAGGAACTTGCACTGTTTTTGCATTTTCCTGAAAAAATTGAGATTTTAACCAAATAAACTAAACAGAAAGAAGGTGAACTCCCCAGATATTCAAGATGTTAGAAAAAACGTTTCGCTATCAATTTGACAGAAAGCCTAACTTTTTCATATCAAAATCTGCTAAAAGTTAGAGGAGTGTCTACATTGGCCTTCATTAAAAAACCAGGACAATTCAAGTGTGGACCTGGACACCAGGAAAATTTGTCTAAATCAGGACAAATCCTGGAAAACCAGTCCGTCTGGTAGCCCTAAACTAAATTTTTTTACAACTATATATATAAAATTAAGTGGCAAAACTTCCTGTTCGCATACTCCTCCTAGACGGCTTGCCCGATATCAAAGAAATTTTCAGGGGTGATTGGGGTCTGTGTGGAGGGTGCACATAAGAAATTTCATGTGTGTATCTTTGCACGTTTTGCAAAAACAAAAAAAAAAAATTAATTCTGTTTGGCTTTACGTGTTTTTTTCTGATTTCTTTCATTCCTAGACGGCTTGCCCGATTTTAATGAAATTTTCAGGGGTGATTGGGGTCTGTGTGGAGGGTGCACATAAGAAATTTAATGTGTGTATCATTGCACGTTTCGCAATTAATTCTGTTTGGCTTTACGTGTTTTTATTGATTTTTATTATTGTTTTGCCGCAAGATTGGCAGTCCTGCCTTTTACTAATAAATAAACAGAAACAGCTGGCGAATGTTTACAATTATTAAAAAACATTGACAACAATTTAATTTATAATCTTATAACTGGAGTCTACTATCGCACCCTTTCCTCAAACGTGTATTAATTCAATATTCAAATAACGTATATTTATATAATTTGAAAAAATCTCCCTACTATACAAATATGTACAGCAATATTAACTAACTAGCGAATACCCGGCGTGCTTCGCTGCGCCTTAAAAGTAATTTTGTTTTGTTACTCCCTCTCACTTTTTTTTNCCGGCTCTTTACATATTTTCTAATTACCTTCGAAAATATATTAACTCAAAAAAAAAATAAACAATGCTTCATAGATCGATTTTTTTTAAATCTAACTTCATAAAGTTCTTTAAAAATATTTTGTAAATGAGGCCATAAGAGCTTAGGGGGAGAGTTACAACACAAAAATACATTTAAGGCGCAGCGAAGCACGCCGAATATATAAACGAATTTCCAACGTTATCGCTACATATTTTTTCAGTGCTTTTGAAAAATACCAAGTATTTTCGAAAATATCTTTTTTGTTATAGAAAAACTTAGTCTAAAGGGGGAATTTGTTTTGCTATACTGTTTGTACAGATCAAGTGAATGCGTAAAATAGTTTATTTTTGTTTTAGTCAAATGCGTTCCTTTAAGCTCAGATGATTGATATTAATTTCTCATTTTCCCCTGTTGTAAATAACCTCGAATCTCTTTGAAGGTCCCTCTACAATTTCGAGCTCAAAAACCATGGGAAAATCATTACGATCACAACATTTAGACAGCACGAGTTGACTTCAGAACCTTTTTATATTTCACAATTGGCCAGATTGGCGGTTGTTTTGACTAGCACGGAAATGACCTAACCCCACTTGCAAAATCCAGCCCCGGGGGCAACACCCCCACCCTATAGTCGGGCCTGCACATATATGTATAAATATGTATACAATCGACTTGTATATATGTAAATATATATAATCATTCATCTAGAACCCACCTGAAAATCGAAAAAGTTACCGTGTTTGAAAAAGGCACTTACCACGATTTTGAACTTCACGTATTCTAACTCGGGAACCCCTTCCGCAAATAATCTTATAGGAAATTCCATCGTTCCAGACCGATTCAGTTGAATCTGGTTCAAGGACACCGTGGGCTAATAAACTTACGAGGTTTACGAGGCTTTTACTAGTTTACCTGAGTTTTACGCCTGATCAAAATCAGTTTTATATGACAGAAAATGCGCAACACCCTGTGCAAAGAAGTTCCAAATTTCGATGAAAATTTTTTGAAGTTTGATTAATTTGATTGTGTTGGTTATTGACCGTTTTATATAATTTAAAAATAAAACATTAAAAGTGTCCATGTTATTGTGGCTTATTAACATTTTATTTTTAATATTTTTATTGACCTTTGTACCATGATTGTTTACTACGAAAAATTTAAAAAGCAACAAAGTCTAAGCGGTAGAAGTTATAGCAGCTATTTCGGAGATCACCACATCTCCTCATCAGACTTCCCTGCTGAAGTCTAGAAAAAAGAAGTCTGATGAGGAGATGTGGTGATCTCCGAAATAGTGGCTATAACTTCTACCGCTTAGACTTTGTTGTTTTTTCAATTTTTCCTAATAAACAATCGTGGTACAAAGCTCAATAAAAATATTAAAAATAAAATGTTAATAAGCCGCAATAACATTGACAAGTACATAGTTTAGGAAGAGCCTGCCTGAAGCTATACAATAAAGCAAATGGATGCATAGAATTGACGACAACAAACACGCTGTCAAATTTAAATAGCGGCAAATCAGCTGCACTTGATAGTAGTTGGTTGAATAAGGAAAATGAATTAAGCTCAGTGGTTAACGCTTCTGACTTTGCACATCGATTACGCAGGTTCGTTCCCTGCTGAAGTCCATTAAAAAGAAGTCTGATGAGGAGATGTGGTATCTCCGAAATAGCTGCTATAACTTCTACCGCTTAGACTTTGTTGCTTTTTCAATTTTTCCTAATAAACAATCGCGGTAAAAAGCTCAATAAAAATATTAAAAACATTAAAAGTCTTTCTGCTTTGTTTACTTTTACTTTAAAAATTTCACAAAAATTAATCAAACATCAGCCTATAGCTCAAAGATAAATTATTAAGTTTAATTAATTTTTGTGAAATTTGTGCAAACTTTGAAACATTCATTTATGTGGTTGCTAGAATAGATTGAATTATATTTGAATGAAAACTAAAAACAAATAAATAAACATAAGTTGCAATCAATATCATTTTGAATTTTGGTGGTAAATTATAGCTGTAGATTGAATTATTTTTTAACGAAAATTATTAAAAACAAATAAATAAACATAAGTTGCAAGCAATTTAATTTTGAATTTTGGTGCTAAATGATAGCTGTAGATCATTATCTAACAAGAACCATATAAATCCAAATTTCAAGTTGTGCAAAAATTATAAAAATTGCAAACGTTTTATTCAGAATATGAAGACAATTATTAGATATGCAGTTAAATTTTAGTGCAAGCTTCAAGTGGCTTCAAAATACTGCTGAGTTCTTGATTTTTTTTCATTGATTATGTACCGGGCCCGGTTTGCAATTATAAAAATTGCAAACGTTTTATTCAGAATATGAAGACAATTATTAGATATGCAGTTACATTTTAGTGCAAGCTTCAAGTGACTACAAAATACTGCTGAGCTTTTGATTTTTTTTTCATTGATTATGTACCGGGCCCGGACTTTCTCCAGGCGGGCCCTGTGAGTAACACAAAGTGACTATTAAGACAAAAAGGGGGTAACATGCATTCATACATATGTTTATAAATAATATATTATATGGAGTATGAATGTAAGTTCATTGAAGGAAAAAATTGTAAAGATAGCAAACAAGTAATAAACAAGTTATGTGTATAAAAAGAATATAAATCGTGTAGGGATCAATGAAATGTGATGAAAAGAAATAATATGTACTTTGAAAATACTCTTTAGGAAATGAAAAGTGGAATTAAGAGCAAAAGATTGCAAAAAAATGTGCTATTACAAGATCGCACAGAAGAAAGCATCTGCATTCTAAGGCCCAATTTCAAATGATCTGTTTAAGTTGAGATTGTTGATTAACTTCATAAATTCGTTTTTAAACTACACTTAAATGGCAATACTATTAACATAAATATGATATATGCAACCCATTGTTGCCATTTGTTTGACACATTTAAATAAAGGTGATCTGAAACCCAACGAAAGTTAATAATAACGATCCAAAATTAAACTTAGGTGCCATTTAAATTTACATCTGAAATTGGCGCTAAGTATGTATGAAAGTCTATATGTATGTACACTTGGGTATATGTATCTTAGTTTAAACAAGAAAATCTTTGAAATATTTGTTAGGCTTTACTGATCTACTCGTTGTGTAAATAAAAAAACTTTATTTAACTTTTTTACCGATGTTTCGCTAAGCTTTTTAGCATCTTCAGGGGTTGATTTATCTATTGACACTTGCGGTGGCTTCGTCTGAACTGAATATTAATAATTTTTATAAACATAATAAGTAAGCTGCAGCGCTGCCATTAGTTTTATTTTGCTTGTTCATTGCATTGTACCTTTTCCGCATTATTCGTAAGCTTTCTAATGTGTCTTGTTTTTGCTCCTTTCTCTACATAAATTATATACTAGTCATAATCCCCAAAAATCGGGGTGTTCCGTGGTCTAACAAATTTGTATGCTTTACTTTTGTTAGTTTACTTTAACCTTGGTATTTTGGCAAGATCATACTTTACTCAATACGTTTACATAGCTGACCATGCGAAAAGCAACCCTCTTGCTAGGGTCTGACTTATTTATTGTTATTGCTAACGCTACAATAATTTTGAATTGACACGAAACTGATCGATGCTTCAAGTGGTTTTGCTTAATTACACCAGGCTGAGGTCAAGTACCCAATCGACTAAATCTCGCAAAATAATCTCTTGTGGCACTTATCTTAATTTTTGAGTTTGACGAAAGTTCTCGCCCTTCTCTAACCCGCAAG